ATGAGTGTAATGACTAATACAGCATTCAAGTATAACATCCTGAAGAAGTAAACATTTGATCGAGAGAACAACCAAAAGGCAACTAGTTAACAAACCCAGAACAACTCAAGTACAACCAAACATTTAGGAAATAGCCAGAAAACAACGGAACATCTAGAACACAACATACATACAAATCTGATTATGTTAAATATTAAGTAACCTAGATTCGATGCTTTTACATGATTAAGAAAGGCCACTCACTCACTATCAAAAGAAAACGTACCGAAAGTAACAGGATAGACTGCAACAAATTATATTAAGCAAGATTATTAATGCCAGTAATGTGTATGCAATACAAATCCTGTATTTAATGGACGCACACATACCAACGTGCATTTCCTCTCGTAGTGAGTTTGGAGTTTCTGAGTAAAAGGCTGAGGCAGGGGGAGTTGGAAGGAGATGGAGGGGAGGGGGAGGGGGGGGGGATAAGAAAGAGGAGGAAAGAGGGGGAGTAAGAGCAGAAGGGAGGGTGAGGAACGGAGACGGGGAGGAGGAGGAGGGGGAGGAGGAGAAGAAGAAAAAGAAGAAGAAGAGGAAGGGGAGGAGGAACTAAGGAGAAGGAGAAGGTGGAGGAGGAGAAAAAGTAGTAGAAGAAGAAGAAGAACAAGGGGGTGGTGGGGAGGAACTGAGGAGAAAGAACCAAATGAGGAAGAGGCGGAGGGGAAACGGAGGAGGCAAGGAGGACAGTGAGCGTGAGAATAGGGAGGAAGACAAACGGAGGATGAAGATAGATAAGAAAGAAAGAGGAGGATAAGGAAAGAAGGAGGAGAAGGAGGAGGAGGAGGAGGAGGAGGGATAGGAAAGAAGAAGGAGGAAGAGGAGGAGAAGTAGGAAAGAAGGAGGAGGAGGAGGCGGAGGAAAAGTCGAGGAAGCCTTACTCTTACGTGTTTTCTCCCCCTAGTTCCCGTCCCGCCCCCCCCCCTCTCCCCCCCAGCGCGCATGTGACACAGGATCTCTGACACTGGAATCTCAAGTCTGCCTCGAGGTCCTGCTCCGAGTACCTTGCTTCCTTCCTCTTCTTATTGCCTGTCTTCCTCGGGTTATCTATTTATTCATCCATTTCCTCTCCTTCCCGCTGGTCTTCCTCGTTTCATTCATTTTATTATCTATTTAATTAATTATTTATTCATTTATTTATTTATTTCATTTATCATTTATTCATTTCATTTATTTATTCATTTCATTTATCTGTTTCATTTATTTATGAATTTTCCCTGTTCTCCTTCGTCTTATTGATTTATTGACTCATTTCCTCTTCTTTTTGCTTGCCTTCTTTGTCTTTTTTATTTATTTCCTCTTCTTCTTAATTGCTTTCTCCGTTTTATTCTTTTGTTTATTTCCTCTTCTCTTTGTTTGCATTCTTCGTTTTACTTATTTATCTATTTACTCATTATTTCTTTCTTCATCTCTTTCCTCTTCTTCTTGCTTATCTTCTCCGTTTCATTTATCCATTTCTTTATTATTCTTTTCTTCTTGCTTCTCTTCTTCGTTTAATTTTATTCTTTATTTCATCTTCCTGCTTGTCTTCTTCGTTCTTTATCTATCTTTTTTATCTCTTCTTCTTGCTTATCTTCTTCGTTTTGTTTATTCATGTATTTCCTCTTCTGCGTTTTATTGATTTATTGATTCATTTCCTCTTCTTGTTCTCATCGTTTTATTGATTTGTTTATTCTTTTCGTCCTCTTTTTGCTTGTCGTCTTCGTCTCATTTATTAGTTTTCTCTTCTTCTTGCTTGATCATCATATCAAATTGACGCAACTGTTTTATTGCATTTCATGATCAATATTGCATTTTTAATCAAAATATTTTTGATAATGTTTACGTTATGTTCTATAAACAGTAGTATAAACCTTTGTACAATGACTGCGTATCATACTTCAACTCCAGTTCTACATAAGGCTTCCCATAAAATAAAATTCAAAACATGTATTAACGCTATGCTATGTGCAGCGTTCGTCCTCTGCTGCAACATAATGCTGCCACTACTTAATGCAATAATGTGCGTTGCATGCATGATGTATTAATACCTTAAAATGAGATCAAACATGAGAGTGAAATTTCCCCACGCAGACATATCTTCTTCATGGCCTTTATTAACATTGCAACTGATAGCAATAAGCAACACTGTAAAAGAAGTCAGTGAGAGAAGGACTCAACTGATAGCAATAAGCAACACTGTAAAAAAAGCCAGTGAGAGAAGGACTCATTAGGGCAAGGAAGGAAACGCACGAGCCTCGAAAAGCATGGACAAGCCACAGGTATCCATGCATGTTAATCCATGCCTTGGCGACTTTAGTAGGAAAATTCAATTAACGACGCCTCTTTCAGCATTTTTCCTGGGGTTTTAGCTCCAGCTTTCCCCCCCCCCCCCCCGTCCCCTTCCATCTCTTCTCCCCACTCTTATCCGTCGTCCCTTCCTACTCATGTTCTCCTCATGTCTCCTTTCTCTTTCTGCTCT